ATCAAGTCAGTCACAATTTGTTGCTTTAGTCTAGTATAATTGTCCTCCTTGAGAGTGCTGATAAGTATATCCCCAAATATTTAACCTTGCTTGTTATTTGAATATACAAAGCTTCTGCCAACTCTTCCTTTTGTCTTAGTGGTATGTTCTTTGTCAAAATCTTTGTTTTGTATTTGTTTATTTTCAAACCTGCTACTTTTCTGTACTCCTCTATTCTTTCTAACAATTTGGGTGCTGTCTCTAGTGGATCTTCAAGGATAAAAACCAAATCATCTGTAAATGCTTGTAGCTTGTATTCTTCTTTTTTAATTTTCATTCCTTTTATTTCTTCTACTTCTCTAATCTTTCTGTTTAAAACTTCTAATGTTAAGACAAAAAGTAACGGTGATAGTGGGCAACCTTGTCTCGTACCTCTCTTTATTTCAATAGAGTCTGTCATGAACTGTCTGATTGACAAGCTCAGTGTCTTAGCCCTGTGAGAATAGCTTGCAATAAAAGTGCCTGATGGATTGTTTTGGATGGCTAATTGAGCCTTCTCCCTGAATCCTGTTAATTTAATCTGATGTTGGGAATTGTGGATTATATATTCAACCTTGTCTCTGCTAGACCAGTGTATCTTGTTTCTCTGGTTTTTCAGGATGAGGGCCTTAGTCTCAGAAAACAACCTGCCTCTTTTTTGTCCCTTTCCATTGATTTTTGTTTTCATAATATAATCCTCTTTTTTTCCTCTAGAAGGTATCATAGTGGATGCAGTCATCCTGGAGGCTCCTTATACTACCATCCGGGATGCAGCTGCCACCATCCCAATAACACTAGTAAGTCTTGGCACTCTTAGTTTTAGTTCCACATGTACTTTTGCTATTCTTTATGTAGCATCCTGCCAAGCTGTTGTGAAAATATGTGCCTGGCTCATATGAAATCCTAGAACAACTGCAGTTGGATCCACCTAGGGGACAACCTGGACTTACGTGTTTATGTAGAAGAGAAAATAGATAGCAGAACACAACTAGAAGGAAAAAACATCGAGTCCTTCCAGATGTTGCTGAACGAAAACTCTGTCTTGCCATAAACTCATATAGCAGTGAAGAATGCTGGGAATTGTAGTTCAGCTGCAATTAGAAGGTCACATTTATATTCCAAGGATCTTCCATGTTGTATGAAACACAGTTAGCAAAAGAAATAAAGATTCTGATAGGAAGAATAATGTACATTTCTCCGTTAATATTCTTACCTTTATTATTAAGAACAAAATAAGTACTAGGTTTTCAGCATATGTGATAACAACGTATCTTTGAATGAGGGATTATTGCATCTTGTCCTGAAGAAACCATTGCTCAATTGAGCCATTGCTTAACCAATGGCTCAATCCAGATTATTATCAATTAATATCCTAACTTTTATTGCTTTGGGGAAAATTGTTGAGAAAACACTGGAAGTTGCGACCACAGAGAGCCCTGGAAGAAACAGGTTATACAGACCTATTTCAGTCAGGTTTCAAATCTGGGTATATGGCACGGAGACCACATTGATCACACTTGGTAGTTGATTTCTGGAAAAACTGGCATGGGGGAAATAAGACTATTCCATGTTATTTCAGCTGGGTGAGGTCATCTACTGATATGATATCAACCTTATTTCTTTACTTCTCAAGTTGGCCAAGTGATGCTGTTGATGTGGCAGAGGTTATTAGGGTCTGGTTGAGGAAGAACAGGTGGAGGCTTAAATTTATCAAAATAGAATGATCCTGCATTCATAAACCAGTTCAATCTGTAGAGATTCCATCTTTAGTTGTGAATGAGACTGCGTTCCCTACGTAAACCTGGACCATAATTTGAAGATCCTCTTATACTCACAGCTGCTGATTGAGGAGGTAGCAGCACTGGCCAAGAAGCTGTTTACATAGCTCCACCTTCTGTTCCACTTATAGTGCCCCTTGGAGTGGTAGACTTTACAATATCCCTTGGGAGATTAAAACTTATTTCTTAATAACCTCTTGTTGAAATGCACTTTACATGGTCTTGCAATTGAAGGACATTGGGAAGATATAGCTACTCCAGAACACAGCAATTCAAGTAATTACGTGAATGCTTTGATATGCCCATATATGACAAAGCATCCTAGGGGTGGAAAGGACATCAGAGGTCTTCTAGCCCAACACCCTGCCTAAGGCAGTAAATCTTATACCATCCAGCTCAAAAGGTTGTCCAGTCAGTGGTGGGATTCAGCAGCTTGGTGAACTGGTTGTTGGAAGAAATCAATAGGGCAGAGAACTGGTTGGTAAATTATTTGAATCCTACCAATGCCCCCCATCCGTCCTGATATATATATATATAGAAAGTTCATTAAAATAGTCATTAGAGATTCTTAGTCATCCACGTCCATTAAAACAGGCTTCTGATGAGGAATGATGGTTTAATTGCTGCTCCATTCAGCATGGTGCTTCCAAGTTTTATATTCCTTTTTTTTTGTTCAATTATATTATGATTAATTTTGGTTTTCATTTGAATCTGTGAAGATNGCAAAAGCGTGCGAAATCATACATATCAATATGTGACCCAACCCCCTTCTCCTGGTAACCCCATCCCACAGTCCAATATGCAAATCTCTTAGGATTCATCTGAGTTCCATCTTCAAAGAGCATCATCAGGTTGGTATGCAGGACGATTGGCCTTGGCCACCCCAATCAATATCTCCAGCATGCGCAGTAGATAGTGAGAACAAAACTCCCTTTTTACAATCTCTCCTATACTTAAAACTTCCCTTCCCAAATACCAGCCCCCCCTCCCTGTTTCAATGGCAGCCGAAAGCAAATAGCGAAACAGAGGCTGACAGGGGGGGTTGTAGAAGATTCTCTTTCTAATGATCGGTACAAGGTTTTCCAACTTACATTAAAATTCCAGTTGTTATGGAACAAAAGAATTCATTTCTTTCCTTTTCCCATCATTCATGCAATAAGAATTTTAAAATAAAGCCAACAAATATCCTGAGGACATCAACACACCTTGCCCAATCTGATGCCCTCCAGTTATATTACACCTTCATTCCTGTATTGTTAGGCTGCATGGCTATACTGGAAGCCAAGGCAGCTGGAGAGCACCCAGTTGGTGGAAGGCTATCAAAGAATTTCCAAAGAGCTTGGTTGCTCTTTGGAAATAGTCATCTAGACCAGGATTCTGATGACCATAAGATTTAACTAGCCGCCCGGAGTCCTTCGGGAGTGGGCGGCATACAAAACCAATAAACCAACCAACTAAATGCTTCTAGAAGCAGTGAAGAGCTACAGCATCCTTGTTTCTTAGGTAATTTGTGGTAACTAAGTTCTATAATCTCTTCCAGGGCAACAAGTCACCGAGTTAATTTCATGAAGGTATGTATTAAAGAATCTGTGTCTAGGAAAGTTTGCCTGGGCTATGGTGCCTTTGTTTTCACAGGTCCGTACCTACAGTATGCTTCTCTTGCTTTACATTCTGAGATTGGGTAGCTTATTTGTGAATGTGCCAGCCTTATGGGCAGAAATAATAGTTTTCTTGATATCCTAATACTTCCATTTTAGCTATCTGTTCTGTGCATTCCTTTTCGCTCTCTGGGACTGAGGGTCTTATTCTTAGCAATTACATAACAAATTATGTACCTTGAACTTCCTACTGCTAAATCTGTAGATACAGATACTTTTATTGTTATTTTTAAACTACTGGGCAATAATAATTTATAGTCTCTTCAAAAATCTGTCCTACTTTCGAATGCAAATACTCATTTGAGCATATCCAGTGCTGTAGAGTAGTGGCTCCCAACCTTTTGGGCACCAGGGACTGGTTCCATGGAGAGAGGTTTTTCCGCAGACCAGAGGGGGTGTGGTTTTGCATGCTGCATGGATTCCGCGAATGGAACTTCCCTTGTTTGCCTGGCCCAGTTGCTGGCATGCCACAGACTAGTAGTGGTCCATGGACTGGGATTGGGGACCCCTGCTGTAAAGTACTTCAATGCCTAGTCCTCCCATATGAAGCTGGCCAGTAGGTGGCGGCAAAGAGGTGCAGATATCCTTGCCTCTTTGGTGTCATCTAGTGGTTGTCTGAATTATTTGATTGTTTTAATCTGGGCTGCCTATGATAAATGTTTTTAATGATTTTTAGTGTTTATATTTGTAAGCTGCCAAGAGTCTATATAAAGTGGGCAGCTATAATAAATTTTAAAAAATTATAATAAATTGGATTCCCTAGAATTTTTGGATATGGCTTGAAGCAAATTGTCAACGGTTTCCCAGATTGAAACTGATTACATATTAGGAGAGATATCCTTTTCATCTTATACATCCAATAATATCAATGCAGTCAGAATTTTCTTTAGACTGCTCATTGATTTTCAGGGACACTTGCAATGAAAAGTATAACTGCCCTACACCAGAAACATATCTGAGAAAGCCAACAGACTATTGTTGCTCATTGGTTTACAAAAAATAAAGAAAAAAGAACATCTTTTGAAATATCTTAAGAAAACCCAAAGACGCAATAACCTAAGAAGAAGAAAAGGACATTATTTTCAACAAACACTGTAAAGATTATAATAGACAGGTAGAATATTGACAGAATGCATTTCTGGAAACATAGCATATTGGATTTGTTTATTGATTGAAAATGGGATGTTTTTAGACCTTGGGCTATGTCATATTGTAACTACTATTTTCTTTTATCAGTATTTGGGGTCATTATTTTGCCTGTTACCGGTTTCTTTTGGTTTAATTATCTATCTGCTTTCCAAAGTCACTGCCTGTGAGATGGATAGCTATATAAATTATTTAAATAAATACATGAACATTCCAACAGCTCAACCATCAGCTAATACATAGGGCTAAATTCCATCTACACACCATTTTTAGAATAAAAAATCAGGGAGGAAAACTAATAGCCCAGAGCACATCTTCTTTAGCAACCAACATATAAACACTCAAGGAAAAACCCTACCCTAATCAGGGAACTATCAAGGAAGACATCATCCCCCAAACCAAGACTAGCAGGGCAAGCTGCTGTATATAAATAATCAACAAATTCCATTCCCCCATATATTGATGATGTTACCACAACTTGGAACATCTGAAGGAAATCAACATCAGCAGAGAACACTAAGAACCCAACAGTTGGCTGGATTGTCCAGAAATGATATGGCTACTTAATGCAAATCTTTTAGAAGTGGTTTATAGATCGTAGCTTACATGCGACTCATTGCCCTAAACCCTAGGACAAATATGTCCTGGTAACTATTTTTATATGGCCTATCCTCATTCCTTTCATCCCATCCTCATCCCACTATTTCAAAGGCTGGTTTACACAATACACACAGTTATAAATCACAGCTTTCTTCTAAATAGCTGGTTGGACAATATTATAATTCCAACTCTACCCTATCCAGCCGAACACAACTGCATTATGCATAGATGAAAGTGGGAATGGCCTTGAGCAACAGGAGGAAGAGCTGCTGCCAAGACAGTAGTCAGATAAAAGGAACCCATGTGGGTTGGAAAGTAACTGATTAAATGTCTCTGGGAAGACTCTCCCTAATTCTCATAAAGATAAAGGGAGAGGAAGGAAACACATTCAGACTTCAAGATGGTTGTTACAGGTAATACTTGACTTACAACAGTTCACTTAGTGGCTAGTCAAAGTTACAACAGTGCTGAAAAAATGACGTATGACAATTTTTTCTTAACGACCATTGCATCACCCCAATGGTCACATGATCAAAATTCGGAGGCTTGGCAACCGGTTCCTATTTATGACTGTTGCAATGTCCCAGGATCATGTGATCACATATGCGACCTCCTGACCAGCAAAGTCAATAGGGAAGCCAGATTCACTTTACAACTGTTAGTTAACCACCGCAGTGATTCATTTAAACAGCTGTGGCAAGAAAGGTAGTACAATGGGGAAAAAACTCACTTAACAGCTGTCTTGCTTAGCAATGGAAATGTTGGACTCAGTTGTGGTCATAAGTTGAGGATTACATGACACTGGCGTCCTAGCCTGATCTCCTGGAAGGGTTGGTGTTAGGTCTTAGTGGTAGCATTTTGTGAATAGCTAACTTTGTTTTGGGATAGGACTTTCTTCGTTTTAGGAAGTTGTTTGTGTTTGAAATTTGTCTACCTTTTAATACAGGCAATGAGTGGTGGTGGCTTCCATGTCTTGGCTTTGGACTACAGAGGTAAGTTTCAAGGCAAAGTTGATTTCTAGGGGTTGATTTCTAGGAGTATGTTTCCCTATAATTTGCTTTGTGATTTCTCCAAGGCTACGCAGACTCTACGGGTAACCCTAGTGAAAAAGGCTTTACAACAGATGTTCTCTGCCTTTACAACTGGGCGAAAGCAAGGAGTGGAAACAGCCCAATCATCTTCTGGGGACATTCCCTGGGCACTGGGTAGGTTCGTTATTATGCCCTCCAGTGCAAGATAAAATGTTTCTTCTCATCTGATAGCTTAAAGGTTTATGACTATGATTTTGACATTGGCTTACATGTCCATGCTTATGAGTGCACGTTCTTTATACATTCTTTGGTGGGTTTTTTTTGTTGCAAACTAAGCTTCTTATCAAAGTCAGGACAACTTGAAGGGAATACATAAGCTATAGATCAGCACTGCAAATCCTGGTGAATTTTGATTTCAGTAGTATTTTAAATAAAATTAATCTTTTTGAACTCTAAAACAGCTAAAATATGCTAAGCACAGATTTCAGAAGCTTTTAGTGGGTTTGAGAAGGGGCCTCTGTGGCACTCATGAAAGAAGTTCATGATTGTTTAGGCCAGTTGTTCTCAAACCTTTCTTCACCATGGACCCCTTTTAAATACCTTTTGTGGCCACAAACCACCAAGACTTAACATTTAAATCATAACATTTCTCTGTGATGATATTGTGGTCCCTCAGGATTCCGTGGACCACAGGTTGAGAACCACTGATTTAGGAGGTTTTATCAGCTCAAGGCAATAGCTCTTCCCTAATTTATGCCAAAACAAACAATATGGATGGGACTTGCTTCAGAATGCCATATTTTTCGGAGTATAAGATGCACCGGATTATAAGACGCACCAAGATTTTAAAGAGGCAAATTTAAAAAAAAGTTTTTGCACTCTGCAAACCTCCCCAAAATGGCTGATTTTTCGCAAAAACAGGCCTGTTTTTTTTTTTTTTTTTTTAAAGGCATGAATAGCCCTTAGGAGGCTTGTAGAGTGTTCCTGGGGGTGGAAATGAAAACGGACCCTTTTTTTTTGTCAAAAAAGGCATTAGGAAGCTTATAGAGTGCTCCTGGGGCTGGGAGGTGGCAAATTGCTCATTTCTGCCCTCCCCAGCCCCCAGGAGCTCTCTGAAAGCCTCCTACAAGCAATGCATGGCCATTTTGGTGAAGGGGAGGGGTTTGGGGAGGCAAAAATGCTATATTTAGTGTATAAAACACACCCAGATTTTCAGCCTNGATCTCTGGGGGTAGCTCGTTCCATAGGGCCGGAGCGGCAACAGAGAAGGCCCTACTCCGAGGCGTCGCCAGCCGGCATTGTGGCACCTGGAGAAGGCCCAATCTGTGCGATCTTACCGGTCTTAGGGAGGTATGCGGCAGAAGAAGGTCTCGTAGATATCCGGGTCCTAGGCCATGTAGGACTTTAAAGGTGATTATGTTGAATGAAAAAATTATGTTGAATGAACTCAGCCAATAAACTAGTTGGGAAGACTAGGCTCCCAATACTCAACTAGTAACCTAATTGAACAGACACATGCTCCTTGTAGCATCAATAGGGAGAAATTAAGGGAGAAGAAAGTCATAGGCAGAGGAGCATTTAAGGGTTCTGGAGGTTAAAACTTGATTTTTGAGTCAGTTGAAGATATCCTGCGTGGAACTATTGACCTCAAAACTGGCAATAGTGATTATAATTATTTTTCCTCTCGTACGTTCCTCTCTGTTCCTAAGCAGACCATTAGGGCAGTCTGTACTACAGGAAAATGCATTACTCCTGGAAAAAGCTGGTCAAAATTCAAGTGCAAACTCAGCCTTAATATGAACATGAAACCCACTCTTCAGTGCCAAGCTCTTGCAGCAGAGAAAACACAGTAAAATACATGTAATTTCCCAGTCCTCCGATGGCCCTTACGTGAGTTCTAGTTCTTCTTCCTCTTCTTCTTCTTCCTCCTCCTCCTCTTCCTCCTCCACATATTGGCTCAGCTCATTGGCAGATGGTGGTGGGGGCAGCACTTCTGTCCAGTTGAGGGATGGTGTTTTTACTGGCTTCCCCATCGATTTTTGTTTCCCAGGTTTAGCAACTACGGAAAGAGAGAAGTTAGACCTTCCATTACGGTAAAAGACTTTGGTTGCCAGCCTAGTCCTATCTGCAAAGAACAACTCTTATTAAAATTAATGAACCTGCATATTTTCTTAAAGAGGTCACCTCAGTATGCTAACTTTATAGTTCTCCTAATCTTCCTGCAGCAATTTGTGTTTCTCTTGAACAAGATGTTATGCATTTTAATGCTACACGTATTGTATCGCATTGTCATCAATGATGAATTAGCCTTTTCTGGGAAATGCCAGGCCTATTCTTCTCAAGACAAGAGGACCACATTGCAAGTTGAGACTAGATACATGATACACTTGGAGAGGATGGGAAGGGCAGAGGAAGATCTCTAGACTAGGGAGAGTGTAGGCTACAATTTCCATCATCTCTAACTTGCCTACCCTAGCCACATCTTAATTAGACTTGTACTATCAAACATTTGAGTACGTCCATGGTCTAGCTTCTTGTAGGCTTATGGTCCCTACCACTCTCCACCCTGCCCCGGTCGGGCTGGGCATACTGGATGGTAGAGATGCCAGGCTCGTTGTTCCATTGGCCTTCCTCTTCATCAGGTGAGTGTAGATGAGTTGCGCCATATGGTACCACAGGAGTTGTGGCATATGGGGTGGTGTGCTGGGAAAATGCCCCATTGAAGGTCCTCATGTCATCACTGGCCGGGTCAATGGTGCTGTATATGGGGCCATCGGATACTCCCGTCCCAAACTTCTCTGTCTGAGCAATGTAATTAGAAATCCCAGCATCTGTAAACAAGGACAGGTGTTGTGAGCCTTTACCAGGTTTACGGGTTGAGCTGAAGCAGATTAAGGGTGCCTCGATTCCAAATGCCTCTAACATCTGTAGGTCTTTTATTTGAACTTACCGAGAGAGAGAGAGAAAAGGAGGGTCCTTGCTGTATTTTCAAAATCCTGTTTCAGTTTTTTCTCTTGGGTGGGAAACATCTCTCAGCCACTTCCTTTAAAAGATCCAGCTTCTTACTGGAGCCTGCCTGCCCACCCTCTTCCCCCACGGATCAGCTAGATTTTTTATTTAGTTATGTATATATCAAATATATAAATAAAGAGGGAGCCTAGGCAATGCATGTTTGCCTCTTGCTAGCCAGTTCTGTTTTTCTCCCATTAACGTTTTTATTGAGTTATAAAGTAATGCAAAATTCAAAGTAAATAGGAAAGCAGTGGGGAGGGAAAGGGGAAAGAGAGGTGAGGAAGGATAAGAAAAAAAGAAAGAAAAAGAAGCATTGACTTCCGACTCTCTCTGCTAGCCAGTTGATTTGATTTGATTTGATTTTTTATTGTATTTCTATGCCGCCCTATTCCCAGAGGGACTCAGGGCGGCTCACAAACCAAGTAAGGGCGGGGGGGAATACAAGCGGGGAAAAAAAGGAACAACGGACAAACAACACCACAATTTAAAAACAATCAACAGCCACACAATTCGAGCGGGGACAAGAACTCATCAGCCCCAGGCC